GAACAAATTGAGATAGGGTTAAACTTCAACGTTTCTTTATCTCTGTTTCAGTACCTGGCGTTCCCGTGTGGCATGATTCGAGGGGCTTTGTCTAACCTAGGGGTGAACTGCATCGTCACGGCAGAAGTCAGTGCCATGCCAGCCTGTGAGTGGACGGTTTTGTTGTGTGTTGTATGCCTACATGTTTTGTGCCCTCTTTGACCAAGTTTAGATCATTTAGTTGTTTTGGGAAATGGGCTGCTTGAACCATGCCTCTGTTTGGGCCAGTCTGGATTCTTTCTGAAATGATGTGGAAAAAAACTGTTGCAGGAAAAGAACGCTGGTTGGAACAAATGTGTGCTTTCACTGCGGTACAGGATGGGCACAGTATTATCTCTCTCTCTGCCATTGTGACTATCACTATCAGTTTGCAGTCATTAAATATTTGGTCAAATTTTAAAAAAATAAATCAACTGCTGCAGTGAATTAAAAATACAGTATAATGGTAGATTGCTAAAAGAATTCTCAATGTGTCTGCTCTATCAGGATTGCTTCATATGGGGAGCTATTGTGCTTTTATTTTAAAATTCTTGCAAATTTCAACTCTGTTGCATTCCCTGATTTTTTCGTTATGAATAGAAAATTTGCCAGTAGATCAATTTTGTTCTCATGAAAACTAAGAAGAGATGCTGACCCATGTAGATCAAGCGTAACAAGCTGCATGCAGGCTTTGGCAAATTTACCTCAAGATCTCGATCTATCGGCTCCTTCTGGTGCTTTTAGTTGACAAAAGATAGAGTGGTGCCTCTGGGCACTTGTAGTAAGTTTTGATTGGTAAGTAGTTGCCCCCCCCCCCTCGGGACAGTGCCACTGACTGTAGTGTCTTTAGGCCATTCCCAAAGGGGGAACATTTCTCGTTCAAGCATAGTAGAATTGTAAATGGGCTGACTCATGTCACGCTCATAACTGTGCCTGATCTACAACAGGAAACTGCTGCTTTTTCTTTCCTAATCCTTACTATTGTCATTTTCCTCTACTTCTTTGTATAATTGTTACACTCTTGTGACCCGCTATTTCCGGGGTGCCTTGATAGTCGAAGCAGACTTTGTGCTGTTGAAGCCAGAGAGGTGAGCAGAATAAGTCTGATTCCCTGTAAAGACTTTTCTGTTGACATCCACCCCTTGGCGCTCATATGACCGTATGCAGTTGTGAGCGCCGTAAAATCCTCTATTAAAAAAAAAAAAAATAATAAGTAGTTGGCTATGTTGACATTGTGTATCTGCATCATGTCATGATGTGGGGAGTTTTGTTTTAATGACTTTATTTATTTTTTTTCTCTTCCCAGGTAAATTTCAGATCCAGATCCAAAGGACGTAGCAGGTCTGAAGAACGTCATTCAGCGACTGTATCAACGGGCGACTGTGTCAACGGGCAATTGTGTCAACGGGCCAATTTGACAACACAATTGACAGTACGGTAGTCCAGGCCTCTGTGCACAGAAACACGTCTTAATTGTTAGCTGCGGTGTGGGGAGGTTCTTCCTGTTAGGTTTGAGTTTGACTCCCTTGCTCAGTCAGAGCAGAGCGTGGTTAGATCACCCACAGGGGTGCTGCCACACTCATGGCCAGTTTCCATGCCCTCAACAAACTGGGTTTTTTTTTTTTTTACCAAATTCATCCTGAAGAACATTCAGAGACATTTCAGAATATAATTTTTATGTGTTTAATCACTGTAATTTGGGAGATACAGCTGATATGTTAGGAAAATCCTGAGGAATGGCCTGACAACCCTGCACATTCCCAATGACTGAGCTAACACAAAAACAGTGACACAAAAACAGTGACACTCGGATGCAACAAACTCATATTCAACAGAAGGAGATGAACCCCCCCCC